CCCCCCCCTCCAAAATTTAATTTTCAATCTCTTGTAATATATTATAAAACATATGAAATAGCAATACAATTACTGCAATAAGATTAGTGCTGGCCCTCTCAGTTGAAGATGAAAAACCTATGCGGAAGTGATTTTGAAATTTTGGCCCCTCCAAGCTAAAAATTCTACTTCCGTCACTAATGGTAATACTAACTCACTTGTTAAAATATGAATGGACGACAAAATAACGTCATAAACTTGTAAATTGTAATCAGTTGCTTCACACACTTTAGCTACTCGATGTTTGTTTAACTTGATAAGCAAAATAATGAGTAATAGTAATTCCACTTAACTGGCTGCTCTGCCTTTTACGCGTTAAAATATGTAAGCCAAAGCTTGCAACTAAAATACTGTAATTTTATTCAGGAAGTGGCTTCTTTAATGCTAATAATTTTTTGGACGGTTACCTTTTCAAAGCCAAAAATATGTGATGTGTAACTCGTGCAAATTATTAAGCGAGTTTTCACGTGTGAAATCCAGTCCCAAATGGGTTATAAGCCGAAATTGTGAGGTGTGTAACTCGTTCTTCTTCTCTATATAAGGAAGCATGCATGCATCCAAGAAATGAACCATCCACGACAACAATTCCCAAACTTTATGTCACAAGTTGACAAACTCAAATCAGATCCAACACTAAAGCAAATGCAAGTCCAAACCATGCCAATGATTCAGAAACCTCTTTCCCTCCTCTTTCACATTTTCCTGTTTTCCTCATTGCCACTGATCACAACCGCATCATCATCTCCAACACCAAGAGCACAGGCAGAGGCCCTGATCAAATGGAAGAGAAGCTTTTCTTCTTCTTCTTCTCCACCACCTTCACTTCTCCATTCATGGTCCCTCACTAACATCAACAACCTTTGCAACTGGACCGGAGTTGCGTGCGGCGATCACACCACCAAAACCAGAACAGTCTGCAAAATAGACCTCTCCAACATGAACATCACTGGAACATTAAGCCGATTCGACTTCATCCGGTTTCCCAATCTCAGTCACTTCAACCTCTTCGGCAACAATTTCAGTGGACAAATTCCATCTGCCATTGGCAACCTCACCAGCCTCACATTCTTGGACTTGGGCAACAACATTTTTTATCAAGAAATACCATCTGAGATAGGCAGGCTAGCAGAGCTGCAGTACTTGAGTTTCCACAACAACAATCTCTATGGTGCCATCCCTTATCAGCTAAGCTATCTCCAAAAGGTATGGTACTTGGACCTTGCATCAAACATCTTTATATCTCCTGATTGGTCCAAGTTTTCAGGCATGCCTTCATTGACCTACCTTGATATTCATGATAATACACATCTAAATTCAGATTTCCCAGATTTCATATCCCATTGTTGGAACTTGACATTCCTTGACTTGTCTCAGACTAATATGACTGGCCAAATACCATCAGCAGTATGTAACAATCTGGCCAAACTTAAGGATTCCTAGTATATTATGGATTGAACCAAACCTAATCTAAATGCAACAAGGACACACGATTACTTCTTGATAGGCAAGGTATCGATGTGATGCATATATAAATAGAGGTCCCTTCCCTTGCAGCAACTCTCTCTCAAATCAGATCTCACCCTATCTAAGAGAAAGAGAAACTAAAGTGCTGCAAAAGGGAAGAAGACTCTCTACAAGAAATCGTGATACTCTACTGCTACCATGGCTGAACTAGGTTAGTATTATAGTTTAAAAGCTTAGTACAGACTTACACTGGCTTCCAATAAACTCAATGGAGAATTGCCTCTGTCCTTGTCCAATCTGAACAACATCAATCAATTGGGTTTATCTGGAAATCTTCTTACAGGTCCCATCCTGCCTTCCCTTATCTCCAATTGGACTAAAGTGGACTCTTTGCAACTTCAATACAATAAGTTCAGTGGGAATATTCCAGCAGAAATTGGCCTGTTGACAAAGCTCAACTACCTTTTTCTAAACAATAATAGCTTATCTGGATCAATTCCCTCAGAGATTGGTAACTTGAAAGATTTGACAGGATTGGCTCTTTCGGGAAACCAGCTCTCAGGGCCAATTCCTATGACACTGTGGAACCTCACAAATATTAAGAGAGTCGACCTTTACTTCAACAATCTCACTGGCATGATTCCACCAGAGATTGAAAATATGGTGTCACTGGAGGAATTTTATGCAGACAATAACCACCTGTATGGAGAGTTGCCAGGCACCATTTCTCGGCTTACTAAATTAAAGTCATTCTCTGTGTTCACCAATAATTTTTCGGGAAGCATTCCGAGGGATTTTGGCAGGTACAGTCCTAATTTGACCATTCTGCGCCTTTCGGACAACAGCTTTACGGGAGAGCTCCCACCAGAATTGTGTAGCGGTTCTGCTCTGGAAGAATTGTCTGTAGGTGATAACAACTTCTCTGGGTCATTGCCAAAGTGCTTGAGAAATTGTTCAAAACTACGAACAGTTGCTGTTGGTCACAACCAATTCACGGGAAGCTTTACAAATTCATTTGGTATTCATCCTAATCTTAACTCTGTTTTTCTCAGCAATAATCAATTTGTTGGTGAAATCTCACCAGAATTGGGAGAATGTGAAAGTCTCATTCGCTTATTGATGGATAGAAATAAAATTTCTGGTCAAATCCCATCTGAGCTTGGGAAGTTGAGCAAATTGGGAGTACTAATCCTGGACTCTAATGACTTGACTGGATACATTCCGGCTCAGTTGGGAAACTTAGGCCTACTGTTCAAGCTCAATCTGAGCAAGAATCATTTGACAGGAGACATCCCCAAGAGTCTAAGCAATTTGACTAATCTCGAGTTGCTTGATTTATCCAAAAACAATTTGTCAGGAAACATCCCCATAGAGCTTGGTAAGTTTGTGAAGTTGTCAACTTTAAATCTGAGCCACAACAATTTATTTGGTCAAATACCACCAGAGCTTGGTAATTTGCCCTTGCAGTACTTGTTGGACCTCAGCAGCAATTCACTCTCAGAATCGCTTCCTGCAAAACTGGCTAAGCTAAAACATCTGCAGATTCTTAATGTTTCACATAACCATCTCTCAGGGAGCATCCCAGAAACATTTTCCCAAATGGACAGTCTATTTGGCATTGATTTCTCTTACAATAACTTGACTGGTCCAATCCCAACTGGTGCCGTTTTTCAAAAAGTGCATGCAAATGCCTTTGTTGGAAATGATGGTTTATGCGGAGATACGGAGGGACTAACTCCATGCAACTCAAATCAAGGAAAGTCCAACAAGTTTAACAAGGTTCATCTTGGACTCCTGGTTTCCGGTACCTTAATATTAGTGGTTGCAACTACAAGTGCTGCAGTAGTACAAGGCTGTGTTGGGTAGGGGAAAAGTGGTTGCAGTTAAGAAGCTGAACATTTCAGACTCTAGTGACATTCCAGAAATAAATCGCCAGAGTTTTGGGAATGAGATTCGAACCTTGACAGAAGTGAGGCACAGAAACATAATAAAGCTTTATGGGTTCTGCTCATGGAGGGAGTGCTTGTACTTGGTGTATGAATATGCAGAGAGAGGTAGCTTGAGAAAAGTATTGTATGGGACAGAGGAAAGGGAAGCAGAACTTGGATGGAGCACAAGGGTGAAAATTGTGCAAGGGCTAGCTCATGCAATTTCTTACTTGCACAATGACTGCTCTCCTCCAATTGTTCACAGGGACATAACTTTGAACAACATATTACTCGAGAAGGATTTCGTGCCACGGTTATCGGATTTTGGAACTGCAAGGTTGTTGAGCACAGATTCATCAAATTGGACTTCTGTAGCTGGATCTTACGGCTACATGGCTCCAGGTAAAATCCAATAAACTAATATTATATTTGTACATGACTTATATTGACACATTGTTTATGATAGAAAAATGTTGGTTGATTTTGTTGCTTTGATGTGCATGTAGAGCTAGCTTTCACAATGCGTGTGACGGATAAGCGTGATGTGTATAGCTTTGGAGTGGTGGCATTAGAAATAATGGTGGGAAGGCATCCTGGGGAGCTTTTAGCTTCTCTATCAGTCTCATTACCAGAAAATACAGAATTGCTTTTGAAGGATTTGTTAGACCAACGGCTAAGGCCTCCTCCCGGTCAGTCAGCAGCGGCAGTGGCTTCTGTGGTAATCATGGCTTTGGCCTGTACACGCACGAATGCAGAGTCAAGACCGACCATGGATTTTGTGGCAAAAGAACTATCATCAGCCAGGACCCAGGCTAACCTCTCTGCACCATTTGGCATGATCACCATCAACAAGTTGGCAAGTTTACAAAACCAGAAGAATTTTTAAACATAAGAGGTCCACACACATATCGTTTATGTACCAATGCAAAGTTAAGGGATTTAGCTCTATCCTGTCAACGTGAACGGTTGTAAACGTTGATTTATAACAATTATTTATTTGTATGTGACGATTTGTGTTACTAATATTCACGAATCAATTACTCGTGTAATCCAACTAGATTATGTTAAAACTTCTATGTTATGCATTTGATTAAATTTTCAACTACCAACAAAAGTAACACTTCCGACCTACTAGAAACCAAAGTGTTGTCCAGTGAGAAAAGAACCAAAAACTAGTTAGCAACCACCAAACTGTTGGGGCCTAAAAAGAAACTGGCCCCTTAAAGTGCATGAAAGAATGTTAAAATTTTCCAACAAGGTGATAAAGTGTAGGGTAGGGTCTAATATCTGTCTGTGTAGACAAACGTGAAATTGAAAGTGAAGTTTGAAGATGAGCAAAGTCTCTATGTATGTATTTTTCTGTGAGACTCGAAAGGAATTCATCTTCATGAGCACCCCATCTTTCAAAATTAGCCTTACCTACCATAAACAGAAAAAAGAAGCAGAAAAATATTACAATTTCAATTAAAATTTCGACTAATTGTCCTGCAAAATAAGAAAATTGTTGAAATTTCGAAGTTCAAATCACCGTAATAAATACCGAAGAAATACAGGGAGCATTGCAAGTATGTATCAAAACCACACCAGTGAAGGCTTTTGCTATGCTATGGAAGGTACAATTACAATATTTCTTAACCAAACTAAGTCCTTTTAAAATTGTTATAATTAAAACTTAAAAGGCTGATATTGCCATGTTCAACTTTGGAATAATGAAGCTGATCAACTTTGAAAAGTACCTGGAGACTTGACTTGTCATTGTCCCACTCACTAGATTTTTTTTCTTCTAAGTCTTGTCATCCTATTCTCACTGTAGGAGGACTAAGCAGCAACAGCAGCCAAACTTCTTCAATCTTCATTTTCAATTTCGCATTTCTCTCCACAGACTGATACTCACGTGATTAGCACGTGAGGAGAGAGATGGAGGGAGCAGGCGAGTGTTTTTTGGCATAGCCTGGTACCACTACTATGTTGGTCAAAGTTGTAATACTATTTGATGCCTTTTAAGGAGCTGGTTCCCTTCTTGGAACCTACGAGGTATTATCCTTGGTAGTTGGGAAGTTCATGTTTCGGTTGGTATAGTTGGAAATTAATCTAATACATAACATAGAATTTTTAAACATAATTCTGTTGTATCTTAGATGTTCGTCATAGTCGTTCATACGTCAGTCTATAATTCTTATACAGTAATTGTTTATAATTTTTGAATTTGCACGTGTACGACTGTTGTTAACATTTCCTTTTACTCGTCTGTTAAATTTATTTATTTATTTTTGGTGAAGTTAAATCTATTTTATTAATAGTGTACAAATGAATCTAGATGGTCTTCCTTTAATTGCCAAAAAAGAGAAAGTAGATATCCAAAAAGTTGAAGCATCTAGTTTGAATCTAGATGGTATGACTTATCAGATTGTTAATCTGTCTTCTCTTCATTGGTTTTCCTTATAAAGTATTTTAATTTTCTATGCCAAATGTTTGGTAAAAAAACTTCCACTTAAAAGGGTGCTCCACAATCCACGCTCTAAATATATAAGTGCCCAAATTTTTAACCTCAACTAATTATCCATTTGGCTGAATAATCATTTTTTGCAATTAAAATATATAAGTGCCCTAATTCCTAACCTCAAATAATTATCCATTTGGACTGAATAATCATTTTCCATTAAAATATTTTAATGCAGTAATGTAAGCGGCCCCTCTATTTTCTTATCGATCATACACCAATTTCATTTTATTTTCATGATTCTGTATCGATGGGTACAGATAAAATTGTTTTCTATACATTATACATTTTTTCTTTTGTTTTTGGTTAAGATTATATATATATATATATATATATATATATATATATATATATATATATATATATATATATATATATATATATATATATATATATATATATATATATATATATATATATATATATATATATATATATATATATATATATATATATATATATATATATATATATATATATATATATATATATATATATATATATATATATATATATATATATATATATATATATATATATATATATATATATATATATATATATATATATATATATATATATATATATATATATATATATATATATATATATATATATATATATATATATATATATATATATATATATATATATATATATATATATATATATATATATATATATATATATATATATATATATATATATATATATATATATATATATATATATATATATATATATATATATATATATATATATATATATATATATATATATATATATATATATATATATATATATATATATATATATATATATATATATATATATTTAAGATTATATATATATATATATATATATTTTGTATGGTGTGCAGATATACTCCATAGTAAAGCCAATTAAAAAAAGCAGATATGGGTTTAGTCAAGTTCGCTATAGTAGATGTGCTTCACACTCTGCGCCTGAGTTCAAATCCCTCTTCCCGTAATTTAGATTAGATAAAACTATAACATTTTTTGTATTAAAAAAAAAATAGATGGTGGACCACTAGTTTAGTTGGTTTGGGTATTTAACATTATTCACAACAATCTTCATCAAAACTGCAATATATTTTAATTTAAGCATAAAAAAAACGTACACACATTGAAAGGGACATATAGCTAATGCTTACTGCGCATGTCTTTTAACCTTTTTCATAAGAGTCTCTCTTTCTTAAAACATTCACTCCAACTTGCACACTCAGAAGAATCAATTCCATCCAATGCATAATGCAAACAAAGCCATGAGCATGACCTTTTAAGTTGACCTATCTTTTTCCTGTCATTTTAATATCAAGAAATTAATGGACAAGTGGGCCCACTATACCTCTATAAATCTTGGATCAAATTTATACATAACATGAACGCGTCAAACCACCATGGAAGGAGGAGTTTTCTCTGGTCAGAAGCCTACTTATCTTCTTCTTCTCCTTCATATTCTCCTGCTTGCTTTGCTTCCATTGAAGGCCATTTCATCACCAAAAACTCAGGCAGAAGCTTTGGTAAGTTGGAAGAACACCTTTGCTTCTGCACCACCTTCTCTCAATTCATGGTCTCTCACTAACCTCGACAATCTTTGCAACTGGACTGCCATTGTTTGTGACCAGAGCAGCAAACAAGTTTCCCAAATTGACCTCTCCAACTTCAACATCTCTGCAACACTATCCCATTTCAACTTCACCCCATTTCTCAATCTCACCCAATTCAACCTCAATGGCAACAATTTCACAGGGCCTGTGCCATCTGCCATTGGCAAACTCTCCAAGCTCACAACTTTGGACTTGGGCACCAACTTATTCAGTCAAGAAATACCTGTGCAGATAGGCATGCTGACTGAGCTTCAGTATTTGAGTTTCTTCAACAACAATCTCACTGGTGTAATTCCCTATCAGCTTAGCAATCTCCAAAAGGTACAGTTTTTTATTCTTGGAGGAAACTACTTAGAAACTCCTGACTGGTCTAAATTTTCAGGCATGCCTTCTTTGACATACCTTGATTTTGATCTAAACAGTCTTGATTCAGAATTCCCAGAATTTATATCTAAATGTTTGAACTTGACATTCCTGGACTTGTCACAAAATGCTTTCACTGGTCAAATACCAGAAGTGGTATTTACTAATCTGCGCAAGCTTGAGTTTCTCAATCTCACCAATAACCAATTCGAAGGACCATTGCCTGGTGGGATTTTCCAAAAGGCGCCTGCAAATGCCTTTGTTGGAAACTCTGGCTTGTGTGGAGCTTCAGAGGGACTAAGTGCATGCAGTTCCTCCGGCAAAAAGTCCAACAAGAACAACAACAAAATTCTAATTGGTGTTTTTGTTCCTGTTTGTGGTTTATTAGTGATTGCTACTGTTATTGCTCTTATTCTTATATTCCGAAAGAAACCCAAGTTGCTTGATGATGAAACCAAAAGTTCTAAGTCTGAGAGCTTTGATTCTAGTATATGGGAAAGAGAAGTGAAATTTACGTTTGGAGAAATTGTGAAGGCCACAGAGGACTTTGATGAGAAGTACTGCATTGGAAAAGGAGGATTTGGAAGGGTGTACAAGGCAGAGTTGATATCAGGCCAAATTGTTGCAGTTAAGAGGCTTAACGTATCCAACTCTAGTGACATTCCAGCAATAAATCGCCAGAGTTTTGAGAATGAAATAAAAACTTTGACGCATGTCAGGCACCGCAACATCATTAGGTTATTTGGGTTCTGTTCAAGAAGGGGTTCCATGTTCTTGGTTTATGAGTATTTAGAGAGAGGCAGCCTAGGAAAAGCATTGTATGGTGTGGAAGGAGATGATGAACTTGGATGGGGTACAAGGGTCAAAATTGTGCAAGGACTAGCTCATGCACTTTCTTACTTGCACAATGATTGTTCTCCACCAGTTGTGCACCGGGATGTTTCTGTCAACAATGTGTTGCTTGAGTGTGATTTTGAGCCACGCCTCGCGGATTTTGGAACAGCAAAACTGTTGAGCTCGGATTCAACTAGCTGGACCAATGTTGCTGGTTCTTATGGCTACATGGCACCAGGTAATCTTACTGTGTGGTTTGTTCATTTTTAAGGCATTTTCGATCTTGAGAAGTATTGTAAATGCTAATGTTTTTGACTAAATACTTGGCGAAGGTGACTAATTTTGTTTTTCTTGATGTGCAGAGCTTGCTTTCACCATGCGTGTCACAGATAAGAGTGATGTGTATAGCTTTGGAGTGGTGGCATTAGAAATCATGATGGGAAGGCACCCAAGGGAAATGCTTGAGTCCTTATTAGAGTCATCAAAACCACTGAAGGACAACACAGAGTTGCTTTTAAAAGATGTGTTAGACCAAAGGCTGGAGCCTCCAACCGGTGAACTGGCAGAGGCAGTGGTGTTTGTGGTGACCATAGCCTTGGCCTGCACTCGTGCCCAACCGGAGTCACGACCCACAATGCGTTATGTGGCACAAGAACTATCAGCTCGGACCCAGCCTTACCTCTCTGAACCATTTGGTGCGTTAACCATCAACAAACTAACTGGCCATCAAAAATAGAGGAAGAGATTGAAACTAGTGGTAGTGTGTATGCCAACCAAATCTTAGTTCAAAATGCAAATATATAACTAGCTCTTTATTGGTGTGTTTGTATTGTGTGTACATGCATTGAGCCTAGTAACAATGTTGGTTCTTGATGCCCCAGATGCATGCTAGTTAAGATAATAATCTTTTGGTCTAACCCAAAAGTTTTGAATCTTTTGGCACTTGTACTATATAATAGTGTATATAATGTAGTTTCATTTACAATCGACAATTGTCAACTTTTCCATACTTCATCTGTTAAACCATTAAATGCTTTAAATTCACCAAATTGTCTGCAAAACCGCGTTTTTCGAAACGGGTAAGACTTTATTTTTTGTTCATTTCTGGTGGGGGTTCAGACTTAGCTTTCAACAGCTTGCTCACAGCTCACATCATCAATGGCTTTTGATGCTTATTAAATACTTTCCAGCCAGACGAAGGTTCTGTCTGTGTTGTTGACTTTATAGCTATGTTTTAAAATACCAGCCCATAGACACTGAAAAAGGCCCAGACTTGCAAACTAGGTCTTAGGTTGGAACTCTTGTGACATCTTAGTTGTGTGTATTAAAGAAAATTCCCCTCTTTTTGTTTAGACCATCACTTCACTTGTACTATATATATATAAATAACAGCCCATAGTCTCAATAAGAAAAAAATTCGAGTAAAAACATAATAAGAAACACAATTTGTATTGTAATTAAGTTTTATACATGTAGCAGTGGGGAAAAAGGGCCAGACTTGCAAACCAGGTCTTAGGTTGGAACTCTTGTGGCATCGTAGTTGTGTGTGTGAAAGAAAATTCCCCTTTCTTTTAGTTTAGACTATCGCTTGTACTGAAATATATATATATATATATATAACAGCCCATAGTCTCAATAAGAAAAAAATTCGAGGAAAAAAATAATAAGAAACACATAATTTGTATTGTAATTAAGTTTTATACATGTAGCAGTGGGTCCCTGGTCACACAAATAAGTGTCAAAAAGCTCTCTTAAGAATATATCATATACGTATAGTGTCTACACAAATGACCTTTGGAAACTTGAGAACATTTGAAGACAAACAAGCAAAAGTTGCATAACTACAAAGACAATCAATGAAGAGAAAGTTGAAACCCCCAACAGCATAGCATGGCTAGCATTCCACACCACATTGTTTAAGAATTGGTCCAGTTTGCTTGGGCAAGAAGGGATCAATTCTCACCCAAATCAATGAGAAGATGGAAGCAAGAAGTACTGACCAAAGGATCACAATTGTAGGAGTTCTGTTTTGCCTTCCCATAGATGGAAGCAAGAAGAACTGACCAAAGGATCACAATGGTAGGAGTTCTGTTTTGCCTTCCCATCAAACCTTTGAGAAAGGGGTAGAGATGAACAATGACCCAAAAGGAGAAAAATAGCTTTCCGAACAAAGGACCCCACGAGCCATAGCCATTGTTAATGGCATCAGAAATTCCAGCTACTACTCCTACCATGTTCAAGATGATCAGGGTGGTTGGTGGTATGAGAAGAGTTGTCCATTTGAAAAGGTAGAGTTCACCAAACTCAGCATCCTCAGCTGCTTTTGATGTTACAGTAAAGTTGGTGTCAACTCCAAACAGGACTTTGAGGAGGCCTTGAAAGACAGCAAAAAAATGTGCAGACACTCCACCAATCACCCAAAATTGCTCGTTACGCCACCAGTCCTCGATGCTAACATTACTCCATCTGAGCTCTAGGATGCCAGTTGCAATGATGGAGAGGAAAAGAGCCATGAACCATATGCTAGCAAAGTTATTAAGCTGCAAATAATTAAATTCTGATTAGAAAATATGATTCATGAATTGGCCAATTTCCTTTGATCTTCAAACAAGTAGTCTCTAAAAGTAAAAGTACTTACAGTGGGGATGATGAACTTTCCGGTCAAAAGACAGACTGCTGGAACAGTGCAATATGCAAGTAAGGGAATGGAAGTGAAAGGGTAGACTATGGTGTTGATGTAAGCAAGCCTCTCCAGCCATTTCAATTTTCCTCCATAGGCATACCATAAGGGGCAGTGACGACTAAGAAAGATTTCAACAGAGCCAAGAGCCCATCTCAGAACTTGGTGCAACCGATCTGATAGATTAATAGGAGCAGATCCCTTGAAAGCTGGTCTTTTTGGCATGCAGTAAACTGACTTCCATCCTCTACAATGCATTTTGAAGCCAGTCAAAATATCTTCTGTAACTGAACCATAAATCCACCCAATCTGCAATGAAAAACCAACCAATTCATCATCTTGAGTTGTTATAGTTTTTGTATCAAATCCTGGCGTAAAAAGAATTGATTAATAGAAATGCTTAAATAGTTAAGTAGTTCATCATAATGCTACTCACCTCTTTTCCCCATTCAGTTTTTTCTTCATAGCCACAACTTATGACATGAATGGCCTCCTTAACGAGTGTTTGGCTATTATTCCCTTCAGGAAGCCCACCATTTTCCATAAGAGTGGAAGCAATAAAAACAGGAGACTGTCCAAAACGTTTCTCAAAATTTTTCTGTGACATGAGTGATGATTTCTCCAACTCATCATAGCCTTCAAACCCTTCTTCAATCTCTTCAAGATCAAACATGGGGGCACTCCCTTTCCTTACGTAGTTTTTCCCCATCATTTTCTTCTTCTTGGTGTAAATTCCCCCAAGAAGACTTCTTATCCCATGCTTCTTAGACTTAGACTTAGACTTCTTTGAACTGCGACAACAGCCACAGAAGCACCATGAAGGCCAGCAGTCACATGTCATCTTAGGTCGCTTTTCAGACACTGGAGGATCATAGCCATACAATGCTTGTCTATTGAAGACACATCCAGTACCAACATACACTGGTCCTTGGATCCCATCTAGGCCTCTCATGTTGATCTATAACCAAAAACAAAGTCAAGGCATTGAGCTAAACTATTACAGGCAGAGAATTCTGTATTGTAAGAGAATGTGTTGAAGTTAAAGCTCTAGTGGCACTTACATCAAAGAACACAACATTTCGATTAGCATATCTATCATGCCGATCAATACCATCAAATCTTTGAGGGAATTGAACATAGCATAGCTTCTTCCCAAGTTGGGGATCCATTAGGAAGCACATAGCTTCTCTTACAGCCTTGCTGTTGTTGATGTAGTGGTCACAATCAAGATTCAACATGAAAGGTGCATTAGTAAGCACTGCAGAAACTCGAACCTGTTGATCACATACAACATTTAAGGTATAAACATTACTGTATGAACCAATCTTGCCTCGACCTAAATACACATTTAATCAACATTAGCTCACCAAAGCATTCATGGCACCAGCTTTCTTGTGATGTTGATAGCCGGGACGTTTCTCACGTGAAACATACACAAGACGAGGCAGTTCCTTACCATCCACATCTAGTGCTCCCTCACTTCCCAGATAAACCTGCAAAGCAAGTAGAATGTCCACAGGCCATGTCAACACTGTATTTCCTTTACTTTTGCTCTCTCTCTTCGAGAAACTAATAAATCCTAAACATCAACAAGAGCCACATTGGATGACATGTGGATTTAATGGGAAGAAAACAGAATATCAAACCTGGATCATTCCCGGATGATCACGAGTGTTGTTCCCAGGCCATGGAGTACCATCCTGCATCACCCAACCTTCTTCTGGTTTCTTCTGAGCCTTTGACACCAATGCATTAATCCTCACTTTGAATTCTTCGTACTCTCTCTGCAGTACCACACAAGTAAACCTTTAGACCTCATTTTGTTGTCGTAAAAGTGTTGCAACAAAATAGCTGAAGGACATAAATTAATATATGTTTCTCCTGTATCTTTTAGCTTACCTTCATGGCTCTACGCTCCTTCACAAAGTTTGGGTGCACCTTGTCCTTCAAGTAATCAATCTTCTGAGAGAAATAGAACTCAGGGGCCCTAGGCTCAATGTTATGCTTTTTGCAAAATGGCACCCATCTTCTTGCAAATTCAGCAGTCTCTGATAGGGAATCAAAAAGGAGCATTGAAGCACCATCATCCGATACATAACAGCAGATCTTGTCAACAGGGTAGTCAACAGATAAGATCGATAGAACTGTGTTTGCAGTAATGATTGGAGGCTCCTTGAGAGGGTCCACTGTACTCACATACACATCAACTGGTGATAATGTGTTAGGCTCACCCTCACGCTCAAACCTTATGGTCAGGCGGTCTAGGTAAGTCTCACGGTTGATGGGGTTCCACTTGGGGAACTGATCAAGTATCCAAGAAAATGCAAACCATATCTCACAAATTACAGATATGATCCACAAAGGATAAGCATCATATGCCGGAGTTAAGATTCGAAAACGGAAGAAGAAGGCCAGAATAACAAGCCGGCAGACAATGACTATGCGGTAAGGGCTGATTTTGCTTGATGAGACGGGTACTTTTCGCCACAGTGGTTGCCGGGCTTCAGCCAAACTACGAAAAGTCCAGATTTGAACAAATGAGACACTGCTACATCAGTTGAGAAGCATAATTTGGTATAAAGATTTTGTACAAAACCAACTTACAGGAAGTCATCTTCGTAGCCTTGATCATCATTTCTGTCGTCTTTGTTCACCAAACCTTTCTTTTCTTGCCTGACTTTCCATTTCTCCACTCTGTCTTTCCACTCTGCATTGCTCAAAACTTCTTTCTCACCTTCAAAATCCTTACCAGCAACTACAGAAACCAAAAATGGCATAAATTAATACATCCAATTCCCAATAAAAAGAAACAAATATATAAGTTGAATTGAATATTATCCTTACCACTTCCTCCAACAGAGAAAGGTTGATCGTTGTGATGCCACTGCTGTTGAGTGTGTTCTCCATTTTCCTGTAAAACTCAACAATTTTTAATCACTTCGGTGACTTAAGGTCACTTCCTACTCCTCATAACAACTTATTATCTTATCAAACTACATGAAATTACCGAATGATTAACGAAGTTATTTTTTTCTGTAGACTCATCATGGTGATCAATCTTGATCTGAAACTCATCATCAAAATCATCTGCATCAAAGTCTTCCTCATCTCCAGCAACTCTAGGACAACCTACACATTAAAAACCGCACGCTTTACATAATTTAAGGCCTAGGCAAAATATAACTACATATGCATATGCATATGCAATATTAATTTATGAGAGAGAGAATTAATTAAAATGTTACCTTTTTGACGCTTATAACGAGTGTTGCACTGAGGGCAGCTCTGGTTGCCTTCACTCCTTT